TGATCCATCATGTTGGTCTGGATCTGATCCATCATGCTGGTCTGGATCTGATCCATCATGCTGGTCTGGATCTGATCCATCATGCTGGTCTGGATCTGATCCTTCATGCTGGTACCACTATCTTCAGGACAAAGTTTAATAAGATGAAGCAGCTGAACTTTTATTTGGAGCCCATTCAATATGGCCGCCACTGTTAATCAACATTAACACCAGAACATTTATATTACAGAAACTGAAGTAAGTGTTGATGTGGTAGTAGCTGAGAGTTACGCTCATTTTATTGCATGAAAACATTATTCTCACAGTTTTGACTGGTTTGTTATTTTCCAACATGAATCATGTCTAACTTGTGATCTGCTGTCTTTGTGTTTTTAATTAATTCAAGTCAAACTGATTTGTTGTTTTATTTCACCAACAGTTCCGCAGCCAACCCAGCATTATGCTGATTAGTTTTATTATATTCTAAAGCAAATTAAAACCAGTTTGATTTGTGGGCTACTTTCTGATTATCCACTCCCGTGTTATTTTAAAAATGGTGGTAATTTGCTGTTCTTTTCTTCCCTCTGCTGCTTTGCTGGTGTTCAGAACACAGACAGATAAAAGCAGAGCAGGGGGAAAGCAGTGAGGAGAGCGGGCATGACAAAAATCAGAATGAGCTGCCTCTCTTCCCTTCGCTCTTTGTCAGTGACCGCTGCCTTCTGATTCTTTCCAGACATGACAACCTGCTGGGAGCTGATAACAGGATTATTAATGCTGAAAAATCCTAAATGTGGGAATTAAAAATGGAATTCGCCAATTAAAACTACCACCCTGTCAGTGATGGCACACTCAGGTTGGACTTTTCACACAGTTAATGGATAAGAGCTTAAAGGATTGGTGATGCATGTCTGCAGCCTGCCAAACAATATGGATAGGTCCTCAGCTCTGACATACTTTTATGCACTAACCCAATTCTGTAGGATTAATTGAAATATAGCCTGACTGAAAAGCTTTGGCTAAAGCCCCGAACTCTTACACTCTAAATTCATGGAGAAAATCTGCTTTCAACCCGTAGAAGTGCAGAAAGCGTGGAGTGTTAAAAGCTAAACGTTGTGTGTTTCTGAAAATTTAGAGCCGTGGTTTATTTAAAGATTGCCTTTCACTGCGCAGACCAATCAAAAAGACAGAAAATCAAACTGAGGCGGCTGCAGAAGCACAGCAGAGAACCAGCTGGGTTTACTGTCCCAACGGTATCCACAAAGAAAGACAGAAGAACCAGCCCCAGGTTCTGACTGGCTGCTGTCTTTACTGACAAACAGGACAAAGAGACGAGTCCAGACAAAAACACAGAAAAACAAAAACATCATGAAACACACATCATGGATGAAGTTTGTGACTACTAATGTAAATAAATCACAGTCAGTACAACTTTTTGGAATTCTGCATATTCAAGGTGCAGCATTCGTTGAAGGAAGGCCTATCAGCCACCGGCACTAACACTAATTTTAATACCTTATTGTAAACAAATATTTAAAAGATAAATATTAGGTTAATTGGCATCATAAGTGAGACGGATTGGAAGAAAGACGGGAGTAAAATGAGCAGAGGTTGATCAGTCTGTGAAAAACAGTGAAACAATTTCACAATAAAACTCCTGTCTGACATAAAAGGTCCTGTTGATCAGTTCATAATCTGATCAACAGATTATTATTATTATTATTTGTAATAATCTCAGATCTCAAAGGCTGAAAATCAATACTAGATGGTTGTGATCAGGTCTGGTTCTGTTCTGAACATCACTGCATGGACTCTGGATCACTTCCACACATCATCTGTAAACACAGTTCACCGTACCAAATACTGTTGACATAATCAACATAAGTGGACACAGATTTTAAAAGTTGATGGGTCATATTTTTTTCTTCTTTTTTTAAATTTAACCACATAAATGTGGATTTGTAATGAAATCCACAAACGTCTGGGGACAGAATCACTTTTAATGTCTGCAGTTTGTTTACTAATGAAGAASAAGTGTCAATCTGTAAACCACAGAAGAAGAAGCTGCAGCGTGCACATCAAAGTGCGATAATAATGGCGGAACAGAAAGACAATTGTGTCAAAAAAATAAATAAATAAATAAAAAAAGAAACAAGACTTAAACTTTCCAAAGTTGGCTACATTTTACTGAAAATCAACCAAAGTAAATAAAACGCAGGCTCAGTCATTCCATGGCAGGCCGGCAAAAACATGATGACATCATGAGATGCTAACACGCTGCAGCCGTCTGAAGGAGGGTAAAATTAAGAAAGTTAGCTGGTTTGTCAGGATGATGTCTTATAAAACTTATTTTCAGTGACTGATCACTTTGTGCTGTAGCCATCTGTCTGTTTTGTTAGTTTACCAATAGAAGACAGTCTTTGCTGGAAGCAGAGCTATTAGTTATGCTAACGTTAGCTAAAGCATTAAGTGCCACCTGATTACTGAATAATAGTAATAATCATCCTGCCTTTGAGCAAAGTGTTGTGAGACTTACTGTCCTGAAGCTCCCAGAGCCGTGGAGGAAGGTTGCTGAAGTATTCATGGTTCAGCGCTGCCTGTGCTGACAGCCGGTTCTTTGGGAAGCACTGGAGGAACCTGGAGGCCAACTCCTCAGCATGGTCCACGTAGCCCAGCCTGACACAGGAAAACATGCTGATCATGACTAGTCGTAAAGCAGCACTGACAACACGAACACATGGGACAGATTCGCCTGTGGATCACTCAGAGAGGGAGGAAACATCACCACACCTACAGCTCTTCAGTGTGTGTGTGTGTATGAAATGAACCAACTGGTGACTCTCAAAGGGAGAAGAGATTGAATGTTTTTTTTTTCCAGTTAGTAATTAGAAACTGACTGCATGAAATAAAAATGATGTTATTGAGCGCAGCGGGCCGACACGTCGCTCACAGAACTGAGAGCGCCCGTCGGGTTCTGAGGGTCTGAATCCTCCAGTCAGGCTCTCCGACAACCAAACCAACATGAGAGGAGAGAGGATGTGAGCTAAACCTCTGTTCACCTCATCACCACTCAGAGCAGACACTGATGGAATGTTAACGAGAAGACACAAGTGTGCGTGAAATAAAATGCTCTTTTACTTGAAACCTCATTTATTCAAATACCACTTTTAAAAACAGCGCTGCATACAAAACAATCAAGAGTAAAAAGATACGTAATACTGAACACAAGAGGCCAAAAAATCAATAACTGGAGCTGGAGCTAGTATTTCTGTTGTTTACAGAGGGAAGTTTTGACTTCTACATTTGTGATAAAAAGACCATCGCTTCAGACAGACGCTCCAGGAATGTGTCCCTCTACACTGCCTAACAATGGCCTAGTGCCTCACAGTCAGCACAGCCATGGAGAGCCGCCGGTGTCTCCACGCTGTCTCCTCCATGCACAAAAAGTGGGCTGCAGCCTTCCATGAGTTCTTTGACTACCTTTACAAATTTTACTGGACGAGTAGTAAAGATGGCTGTGTTTTTAACAGCCCCAACAAACTGACCCACTTCCACTTTTCGAGTCGCTGGTGTCTATCTCCTGCAGTCACTATGTGAGAGGTGGGGGACACCTGGACATGTTTCCAGTCCTGTGTATGGATAAAAACTCACAGCCTTAAAGTGCCTGTGACATGCATATCCTTCAAATACAAAAAGTCAAATAAAATGCCTTTATATTTAATAAACTTGGCATAATACATGAATTTACCCACTTTGTTACAGAACGGACAGATTTTCTTTTGAACTTGGCTCAGCTAAAGTGAAACAGGAAGTGACATCAAAGAGGAATTCTTAAAGAAAAAGAACTCCCTGGTCTTTGTTTATCGAAACAATATTATTTAACTCTGATCCGTCTTCATCTCTGATAGTGACATTAAAACATAACCAACTTTGTTTATACAGACAGAAAGGCCCCATATTGATAAGACACACTGACTCTGTTCCTCTGTTTAATCTAGATGGTTGCACAAACAGTGAAATACTAGACTGGATCTTAATTTCAYTTAATTAGTCACAAAATTTCCTTCATGTTATTTTGTGATGCAATAAAAATGTTATTTTTCATGAACTTTTTTTTAACCAGCAAGAGTATTTTTTTGTCCTTTCTTGTTTAAAGAAGCAATCAAAGACACAAAGATACAAAGAAAACTCCAACAGTGAAGCTAAAAAGACACAATAAACTCAGCTGAGCTCACAAAGCACCTGAATACTGATAAAAACCTTCCTCGTTGTGTCCTGGTATTTAACTTTAGTTGTGCTTTTTTATGTTTTGAATCTACATTTGAGTCAAATGCATTAATTGAATATAAATATTTTTCCACCTTTGTGCAGGTTAACCATGGAGTTGGTCATGGTGAATTCCATTCAGTAAACCCTGAAAACTCTGTGCAGTTTTCCTCACGAGCACCATCTCAGTCAGAGATCAATCCTCGCACTTGTTCACTGAAATTCTCTTTATTGTCTTAGTCTCGTTTGAGAAAAGACACAAAGCTGCCTGAGATCACTGCAGGGAGAGTTCTGCAGTGAACATCTAGAAGATGACTTCAACCGAGSATGCTCATTAATAATTACACTTTTCTGCAAACACACGCATGCACATCAGGCTGTTCAACTGACACATATCTGCAACCAACATGCTTCTTTTCCTTTAGAATTTATGTGATTTATTGAAAAAGTTGATGGTGTTTTTAATCTTTTGCAGAGGGCTGGTCTGAATGGATGTTTTCACCACGTTTCCTCTTTACCAGTCAGCAGCTGCCCTCCAGCCCATCAGCAGCTGATTCTTTAGCAGTTCAAGCCCTGATAGACCCTTTTGTCCTGTCTCCTCTCATGTCCTCTGACAGAAAAACAAACAATACTCATAATATTAATGTAGACTGATATTATTTTCTGTCAGTTTAAACACCTGTTTTGTTTAGGCTGCTTTGAATGGAGAAAGATTAAATAAATAAATGTGTAATTTAAAGTCATCCCACATTAGTAATGATGACTTAAACCACTGATGAGCTTCTTTTAACCGTGTTTATTTTTGTTCAGTCGACTTTTCTGTCTAATCAGTATTTTACTCTTGAACACAGCGTTTTAAATATTAGCGAAGAGTTGCATCAACACATCAATATTCACAACAGTTTCTTTTTCTTCTGGCCTTGAGAATAATTCCTTCATCGTCTCAGACAAGACAATCTATTCTGATCATACAGCCAACGCTTCAAAYACACTGGAGCACTCAGAGAGACACTCCATGCTTGGTGGATTCTATCGGCCTTTTTTTCCAGAGGAAAAAGGAACATGACATCCAGCAAATGGTCTGCAGACGGTGAGAAAAAAACAAAACAAAACAAAAKAAKAAAKAAACAAACCTGTTGTTCTGACTACATCTGTAATTTTTGTTTAAGCATCCATACAAAGAATCCTGCATCACAATCCAACCAACCGCAGCTGCAGCGTCTTACTGACATCTAGTGGTCCACAGGGAGATGAGAACTCTTTAAAACGTTAGTCTTTTGTTATCTGATAAACAAGTGTTGATGATATTGAATTAGTGTGTTTATTGTTGGCCACTGCAGGTGAAAGGGTGATAATGTCTTTGATTTTAGAGACCTTCGCAAACCAATTCAAAATGGCTGTCACAGCACAGCGGCCTTCCCAAACACCAAAGTGGCAACAGCCCAGTTAATTTACAGATATTAAGGTAAKATTTGGAGTGGTAGCTGAGAGTTATCTTTAACATATACTCAGACAGTCAAACAGAACTAAACATGAGATTGTCCCTAACATCTTTTAGAAAGTTTAATCAAAAGGAGAAAAAGAAGTGAACGGAGGATGTTGTTTTAAAACTCGTAAAAAGTGGTGGGTGACATGRGTTCCTTCAAGGATMTTTYSTTCTTTWAAAAGGTTGATTCATATATCSCTGCCTGTTCYAACATAATAAGCTTCATTCTCTATTTGTCAAATGTGTCTCTTTCAGCTCTTTCAGTTTTTATGTCAGCTTGTCCTGATGCATCTCAGTAATCCAGGTAAAAAAATCAAAAAGAAAAAAATTG